TGAAGGTGAAGGGTGAAGATGCCCAGGGCTACCCCCTGCACCGTCTCTCTGGTGTCACCTACACCAGCGTGGTCCCTGGTGAGTGGTCAGCCCTGGCCTTGGCTTTGCTCCCACTCCACAAAGTGCATTAAGATGCAGCCAAAGGTTGGAGAGAAGGAAGATCCCTTCCAGCACCATCCCGTCCCACTGGATGCTTTTATCTGGCTTCCTGGTGCAACCCTTGATGAACTCCTCGGGGCTTATGTGTCCAACTGCTTCCAGGTCTACCCAAGGTGAACATCCCCAGCAAAATCCAGGCTTACAACCGCGAGCCTCAGCTGATCTCCTGCTCCGCACAGAGCGAGATCCCTTTTCGCCTGCAGCTCAGCCGTGGCGGGAAGAAGCTTGGCGAAGGTCTGCTCTTCAGGTGAGTCTGGTTTGGTCCTGTTGGCTCCATGCTGGACATGTGTGAGGTGCAACCAGGGCTGTGCTTGCCAGGAGTTGGGTTCTGTGCTGCAATGGGGCAAGAAGCACAAGCTGGGGCAGCCTGTATGCTTGAATGCTGTGACATTTTCTAGGCAGCAGAGGAAAATGATGATGGATTTGCTTGCGTAATGCTGCTGGTGGGGGAATGCCCATCTGCTTGGCTAGGCAGAGATGCTGATTTTTGTTTTGTGTTAAATCCTAGGGATTAGATGTGGAGTTGGTGACATGGCAGCCCTGGCTCGGGTATCTCCAGGCACGCTGATGACCCTCTGGTTTCTTTGTCTTGCAGAGGTTCGGGGAACAGCAGCTGGCTGATCCCTGCAGCTTCCAAGAGTGATGAAGGATTTTACGAGTGCACAGCCACAAGCAAGGTTGGAGCAACACGGGCTCGCACCTTTGTCTCCGTTGCAGGTCGGTGCTTCTTGTGCCATGTGGGATCTGGTGAATACTTGGTGCTTTGGAGGTCTCTGGATCTGGATTAGGGGATGGGCTCATCGTAGGTCCATGCTCTTGATGTTTTTCCCTTTGGCTCATTGCTTTTGCAGAGCCACCACCACGTCTCGTAGCCCCTGGGAACATCACGGCTCTGCCTGGCCAGGACGTAGTCATGTCCTGCGCCGTTTTGGGCGACGTCCCCTACAACCTGACCTGGAGCTGGAATGGGGAGGCAGCGCAGGCAGCGGGCGGCAGGACGCGGCTCCTGCAGAACCGCTCGCTGGAGATCCGCAGCGTGCGACCCGCGGACGGGGGCCAGTACGAGTGTGTCGCGCAAAACGCTCATGGCACTGCCCGCGCCTCCCTCTGGCTCTTCATCCAGGGTAGGCTGTCCCCTGCGCGGGACCACGGCTCCGCTCTCCTTTTTGGCAGCGAAGTTGCCGTGTGGGTAGTGTGTTGTGTCCCGGGTTTAGTCCTATGGGGATCTGCAGGCTTGAGTCCTTCCAGGAGTCCTGGATGAGCGGGTTTCACGTTGGGTCCACGCTCATCTCCCACGGGAAGGGAGCTGAGCGGGTTGCAGCCTCGGACTGAGCCCTTCTGCCTCTCCCTGGGCAGAGGCGCCGTGGGTGAAGATGGACTCGAGCCCCCAGCGGTTCACCAAGGGCGAAGAGCTGAGGCTGAACTGCACAACGGGGGGACACCCAGCGCCGCGGACTACCTGGAAGCGCTGGGGCAGGACCCTGGAGCAGCACGAGAGGTAGGGGCAGAGCCTGGGGCCAGGCTTGAGCATCCTGCAGCCTCCCTTGGCTCCTGGAGGAGCATCGTGGTCCCTGGTGTAGGAAGGGGGATGCAGGTGATGGTGGAGGGGAGCAATTGGACAGGGAGCTCTCGGTAGGAGTGTTTGACCCGGTCGTCTTTGTCCCCTTTAATCCCGTGGTCTCTTTGGAGGGATGCACAGCTTGGTGGGGAGGGGTTGCTGTGACTCCCGGCTGTGTTGGGATATTCCCAATCCCCGTGCCGAGGTGGTCCTCGTGCTACCAGTCCTAACTTCACATGTTTAATTTTAAGCAATCCTTCCTCACCCATGTCACATGTCACCAAGGGTGACTTGCAGTGGCCAGGAGCTCTTATAAGCACAATGAGGCCTTGAGCCTCAAAATGCCGTTTGTGCTTGGCCTAAACTTCTGCTTTTGGCTTCCTGTCTCCCTGCTCCATGTGAGACTGTAAATGCTTGAGTGGGCTTTGGGGAGGGCTTTTTTCCCCGGCTTCAGATACGAAAAATACCAAATCCTCAGTGCTTTCCCTCTAGCTTAAGCAATCTTCTCTCCTGCAGTAGCTGACACATGTGGATATCGGTGCAAAACTGGATCTGCCAGACTCCCAATAAACTTTGTATGGGTGGAAGATAGCTTTAAGCCTGCTCATTTATTTCATCAGCTCCATTTCCATAGGGCTGTTTTCTCCCTCTCTCTGGCCCAGGGTTTTCGAGGATGCACAGGGCACCCTGCACATCACAGCCGCGGTCCCGGAGGATGCCGGCAACTACAGCTGCCGTGCCAGCAGCCCACTGGGCTGGGACGAGCGAGCGGTGGCCCTGGAGTACACTGGTACCGTAAGGCTCCTGCTGCTCCCCGAGGCGCCGGCTCCCTCTCAATATCCCAAAGCTCCCTCTCCTGTTCCCTGTGGGTGCAGAACCTCCTGCTGTCCTGGCCGTGATGCCCGCTGTGAAGGCTCTGCGTGGGGACAACGTGCTCCTGGAGTGCTGGGTGTCGGGGGTCCCCGCGCCCCGGATAGTCTGGCGCAAAGGTGAGGCCGGGCGGGGGGTCCTGGCTGTGCTGGAGGTGCGCGGGTGCAGGGGTGATGCTCATGGAGGGCATCTCCCCGTGGGCAGGCGAGCAGGAGGTGGCGGCGTCCCCGGGCAGCGCGCGGCGCAGCGTCCTGCAGCTCCAGGCGGTGCGGGAGGAGGACGCGGGCGAGTACGTGTGCGAGGCGCTCAGCGAGGCCGGCGCCGCCTCCGATGGCATCGTGCTGGACGTGGGCTGTAAGTCCCTGCATCTCCGGGTTGGATGCTGAGCCCCCTGTGCTGTGCTGGGGCTCCCGCTTTGGCTGCGGGTCCAAGTGCACCTTTGGGGAGGATTTCCTTGGGTGCAGGTGTGCCGTGGGCGAGTGGTGGCCAGAGAACCTGAGGGGGAGCCCTGCGAGCTTGATGGCACAGCCTGGGTGGGATCTGGGGATTTGCCAGCTCTCACCTAGGAGCAGAAGGGCAACTCGCTGCAACAGGGACCCAGATACCCATTAAGTCTGTTGAAGGGATGACTGCATGGAGGGCTGCAGTGTTGCTCCCTTCCCTGGCTGCTGCAGGATGTCTCAGGAAGGGCATGCAACCCGCTTGCTCCAGGATGCTGAGACCGTGGGCCGGTCCCCCTCCTCCCTAGGGGCTGGGAGGGTGAAGCTGGGTGGTCGGTGGCTTCCCCTGGCTGCTGGTGTCTTCTGCGCCCGGTGCCGCTCCCTGGCCACGAAGCCCCAGCTCCATCCGCTGCAGCTGAGGTTTGTCCGGCTGCCCTGGCTCGCCCTAACCCGGCCTGCTGTTCGCAGGGTTACAGCACGGCGAAGGCGTTCGGCACGGCCAGCCGGGCGCAGTCGTGGTTGCTGCAGGGGCAGGCTGCCCTGCGAGTCTGCACTGGCCCCGTGTAGGGATGGGGGAAGCTCCTTGTGTATCTGGATGCTGCAAAGCTTGGCCTCCTGCAATCTGGAGCAGGACGAGTTGCTGGGGTTGTCCCAGCTTTGTGGCTGGAAAAAAAGGAGGAGAGGAGCGTGTCAAATAGCTGGAGCGGGAGCAAAGGCACGGACCTGGCTGCGGGTGGGAGAGAGCAGCCGGCCAAGGAGTCCATTAGCTGTGGAAACATCTCCTCTGATGCATGGTGGGCTCCTCCTGCATGCTGACAGCACAGCGTGGCTGTGGCCATGTCTTCCCACGTGCTGATGGGGCCAGTGGCAGTGACCCTCTCAGGGGTGTGCTGCAAACCCAGACACTGCCTGGTTGAACAGGGGGAGGATAAATGTGTCCCCCTGGGTCTGGGGCCACCAGTCCTGCTGGAGGGGCAGGTGCTGTACCATGGTGGGATGCACTTGCTGCATCCTGCTGGTTACCTGCTGCGGCATTATTTTACCTGAAAAAATGGCAATTTGGTAGGTGAGAGCCTGGGTGCAAGCGGGCAGAGCTCACCTGGGAGCATCCAAGGGTGTCCTGGCTGGTGAATCCCATGCCAGGGAGAAGACCCTGCCATATCAATGTTGCAGATAGCTCCACTCCATGGTCCTTCCACTTAAAGATGCCAACAGGTCTTGTCCTAGAAGCAAAAAAATGGTGTAGCAGTGCTGTCCTGCACGAGGAACTGTAGGACCTGGTAAAGTGCAGCTCCCCTAAACCCCTCCTTTCCTCAGCTTCATCCTCTTTTGGATCCCAGGGCTGTGGATTAGAGCTGAACTCAGCTTGGTACAAGCAACTGCTCCTGATGAACCTTTCAGCTCCGTGCTAAAAGGTCTTGTCCTAGAAGCAAAAAAATGGTGTAGCAGTGCTGTCCTGCACGAGGAACTGTAGGACCTGGTAAAGTGCAGCTCCCCTAAACCCCTCCTTTCCTCAGCTTCATCCTCTTTTGGATCCCAGGGCTGTGGATTAGAGCTGAACTCAGCTTGGTACAAGCAACTGCTCCTGATGAACCTTTCAGCTCCAGAAGCTATGAATGTTACTGTCTCTTTTCTAGCAGCTTGCAGGGATCTGGCCGCTGCCGCTGGATCTCATGAAGTCCTGGCTCCTGGTGCCACCTGCAAGAAGTGGAGCGGGGCTTAGACCTCCTGACTCTCTCCTCTGCTGCTGCTCTCTCCTTTAGCTGCCCCTCAGTTTGCCGAGGACCTGGAGGACGTGTCGGTCGAGATAGGGCAGCGCGCGAGGCTGCTGTGCCGCGCCGAGGGCTCTCCCCCACCGCGGGTCACCTGGGCCCGGCAGGATGGGAAGCCTCTGTGGGGCCAGCATGGGCTGCTGGATGTCTCCAGCCAGCTGGAGGCCAACGAGCTCTTCATTGACAGTAAGAGAGCAGCTTGGGCTCCTGGGCTCTGCCAGGCTCTGGCTGGAGCTGGTTGCCTCCCATAGCCCGGCTGAGATGTCTCCCTCTGCTCCAGACGTCTCGCTGGATGACCAAGCCGTCTATATCTGCGAAGCCCAGAACGAGTTTGGGAAGATCCAGGCAGAGGTCAAGCTGGCCATCACCGGACACGGTTTGCTTTTACATGGTTTTATTGATGTGTTGATCACAGAGAGGCTCATGGCCTGGTGGAAGCCAATGAGGGTGGTGTTGGCAACTCTGACATCAGAACTGTGTCTTGTCCACTTTTGAACTGGCTGTGGGAGTTCTTATGCTGGCCACTGCAGACTCCCTCCTCCTTTTTTGGGTCCATATACAGCCCCTTCAGTCTTTGGACTGAATGCACTAACACGTGTCTGAACCCAAGTCGTAGTCGGATATCCCCAGGCTCTTGGGAAGCCTGAATTTCACTTTGGGTTTGTGCTGATCGAAGCTCTGGACCTTGGAAGAGAGGCAACCCAGAGGCTCAGGATCCCTGCGGGTCTCAGCCAGCCCTGCAGGTCCTTTGGCAATGGGGAAAGCAGGGGCTCTCCTGCTGGCTCTGGGAAGCCGGGGAGCCTGTCCCTCTCTTCCATGCGCATCTCCAGGTGGGAGAGGCGGCAGGTCCTGGTAAGGTCCGTGCTGCTTTCCCTCCAGAGCCTGCTGGATGCTTGGGTTACCATGGACGTTAACTCATAATCCTGGGGAGCAGGAGATCTGCTTGCCAGCCTAACAGCAATTCATATGGTTTTTGTCTTCCCCTCTCTCTAGCGGCCCCAGTAATAGCCCAGGGACCCCCGGTGATCCGCGCGCTCGGAGGTCAGCCCGTCTCGCTGCCCTGCGTAGTCCTGGCCGGGAAACCCTTCCCAGCACGGCGCTGGCTGAAGCGGGGACAAACGGTGAGGGTTTGGGGCTCGGTGCCACCGGGACGGTGTGGCCCTGCCGCCGTGTTCCTGCCAAACATGCCGGGTGGTGCCCTCCTCCTGCATGAGGCACCAGGGCTCAAAGCTCTTGATGGAAGATGCTACGAGAGCGTTTGCGTCCTTGTCTCTGGATGTTTCCAGTGTTATTCAGGGACCAGCTTCCAGATACATCCCCAAGATGGAACAATAAGGTGATATTTGCTGCCTTCAGCCCCAGTCTCTGCTTGCACACAGGTATCCCTGGATGGACATTTTTCTGTCCGTGCTGATGGGAGCCTCCACATGGAGCAGGCGTCGCAGGAGGATGCGGGGAGCTACTCCTGCGTGGTCTCCAACGCCGTGGGCTCGCACAGGCGGGATGTGGCCCTGGTTGTCCATGGTGAGTGGCAGCATGAGAGATGTTCCCGGTGCCCATGGGTGCTCTGCTTTGAACGGCAGCAAGGAGGATGCTGACGGATGCCCCCTGCTCACCCCTCCTGTCAGTTTTCCACAGCCTGAGTAGGCTGAGGCTTTTGGACCAAGGGAAGCTTGTCCAGCAATCTGGAAGAGCAATTCCAATACATCAGAGCAGGAAAAACCTTGAGCACAAGCCTCTAGATAGGCAATAGTCCTCAAGACAGCATGGTGGGACTACAAAGCAGGCTCAGAAAACATCTGTTGTCTGGCAACCTCACAGCAACAAACTAGCCAGGACACATGAAATCTGATTCTGGACATGTGAGATTCGGCTGCTTGCTGCGGGCCAAGCCGCTGACCTGCACGTCCCCCTTGGGGCCAAGCTCACAGGGCAGCATGTCCAGGCTTGTACCGAGCCTGGGAAGCACAGCAAGGCCCGTGGGCTGAGCGCCAGACGTGCCGCACGGGGATGCTCGGGTTTTCGGGGGTATTTTGCTATTGCCTGCAGCTGG